AGCCGCGCGCGCGTGCCGAATGGTCGACCGCCCGGTCGCCGCCGCCGTCAGCCTCTGCACGCGCCTGTCGCCAATGTCGCCGCTCCGCTCCAAGCCGTCCCCCCGTCATCGTCGTCGTCATCGCCCGGCCCCCGCCACTCCGCGCGCAAGCCGCCAAGGGACGGAGCCGCGCCCCTCCTCCCTCTGCCGCGACGCTCCCGCTCCCCTTCCCCTTTTTCCCGAATCGGCAAAGGGGCAAGCCCCTTTCTCCCCCTCCTTTTTCCCTTTTTCCTCCTCGCCGGCGTCATCCTCCTGCCGCCGCTTTGGCTGCAAGCGCCGAGCGCCAGCTCGCGCCTTGACCGTTCAATGTCGGTTTCCCTCGCCCAAACCGACATTGCCGCCCATTTAAGCCCAAGCCCTCCCCCTCCAAACTCTCTCATTTTCGCCTCCGCGCCATTGCCGCCCTCTGTTTCGCCGTCGCCGATCGTCGTTGCGCGTGTCGGAGGAGCCGGCACGAGCAAGGACGCGGAAGAGGACTCCGGCCGCGCCCTCTCCTTCCTCTTCCCCGGCCCGAGGCCGGAGAGATTACTCCCGCGCCGTCGGCCTCTCGTCACAGCGCCCCGTCCCGCACGGTAGTGCCTCCCTCCGTTCTTCCTCCTCGCTCCATCTCCTCCCCTTAGATTTCGGTAGTAGCTCGAGTAGCCTCCCCGTAGTTAGCCGGCGCCGCCCCGACTGTTGCCGTCGCTCGCCGTGTGCTCGCCGCCGTCGCCGCCCGAGCTCCGTAGCACCCGCTCGTCGCCGGCCTCGCTCGGCGTAGTTCCGCCCAATCCGACGCTAGCGTCGAGTTCCCGACGCCGCGTAGATGCTCTCACCGCCGGGAATCGACCTCTCGTGACCTCGTCGCCGTTTCCCTCTTCTCCCGCCGCCGGTTGCCGCCGCCGCAATCCGCCGCCGTCGAGCAACCTCCGACGAATCCGAGCCGTTGGCTCGTCTCCCCTTGTCACGTGCAGCCGCCCGGTGTGCTCGCTTTTGCCTGTATCACCGTGGTTCGCTCCGCTGCTCGCCGCCGCCACCCGCCGTCCATTCGCGGCCGGGTCGTCGTCTACCTCCCGCCGGCCCGCGTGGCAGCCACGTAGGCGCCACGTCGGCGCCAGCTCAGCCTAGACCGGGTCGAGCCCACCCCGGTCGGTCCCTCCCCGTGCGCGCGTTCCACCGCGAGCCGTGAGGCTGCGCGTGGGCCCGCCGCATCCGCGTCCACCGCGAGCCGCGCGCGTGCACCGCGTCCCAACCCCGCCCGCGCGCGTGCGCCGTGCGCACCCTCCGCACGGTGAGCCGAGCCGCTGACAAGCGGGTCCCACCCGGGACCACGCGTGGTGAGCCCGGTCCACCGGCTCCCTCTCTCTCCTCCCTCCCGCGCGCGCGCGCTTGGGCCGTCTTGGGCCGGCCGGTCCGTTAAGCTCGGCCGAGCTGCCCCAAATCTCTTGGGCCGCACCCTAGCCACCCGAGAAAAGTCTATATTCCCTCCCTCCTTTCTTTTCTTTTTCTTTTCCAAAAAGGATTTAATTAAATCCTTTTTCCGTTAGACCAAAAATCCAATAATCTTAGAAATTCAATATCTTCCCACCCGTAAATCCGTTTGACTCCGTTCAACTTCCAAAATTCCTCAAATCTCGAGATCTATCTAATGGCACGCTTAGAGGTCATTAATAGGGCTTTATTTTCGCCGTTTGTTGAGTTGTTCCGTTTCGCGTGTAGTTCCGGAGCCCGAAGACCCGCAGTGCGAGGATTTCGAGGATCAAGCTCCAGATCTCGAGCAAGGCAAGCCACCTTTGAACATCTTGAGCCTATATTTGAAATCTAATTATATTGCTTGCAAAATATTATGCATTGATAGGATCGCACTTAATCTATTGTTCCGTCTGCAAGGCAGATTGGCGGACCTACCTAAATTGTTGCATTTGATCCTTTCCTTGTTAATTGTTACAGCATGTCCCCTTGTAACCACCTAGTTGCGTCTTGATATTCGTGCATCCTGTGCGAGTATCGACGGACGCCTTCAAACTTATAATCTGAATAACAACTTGGGTAAAACTTGGGTTTTACGAAAGATTTGGAAAACCCGACACCTGGGTCGGTGCTTGCGAACTAAATGAATTTCCAGAACCGCGGACCGGGGAACGTACCGGGTGTACGGTTTCCCGCTCTCGCACTTAAGGACCGATTTCCTTGGAATTTCATCCAAACATAAGATAAGTACGACCACATGGGTGGAATGGGACACCCCTGGCTGAGTAACTAGCTTATCAGGGGAGCCTTGATGCCGAGAGACATGTGGATTCGCCGGGGTGGTGTCGGGGAGGACCCCTGGGCTTCCTGGCACAGTATGGTCTGGGACCTAACCTGTTGTTGGTCTGGGACCCCTCTCGTTGGCATATGGTAAACCTGTATCGGCTTTCAAAATGCCTTGTCATGAAAGCTTGGAGGTCTCCCGACGTGGCTGATCCCCACGGGCTGGGTGATCCGGGTTAGTAATGTCGTGTGGGTAAAGTGTACCCCCTCTGCAGAGGTTAACAAACTGTTCGAACAGCCGTGCCCACGGTCATGGGCGGATGTGAGGTGATTCCTAGCGTAGTTTTGTTTGACTACTGCTTGTGAAATTGCTGTTGTGAAAAGGGGTTCGATGTTTGAAAAATCAGCAGCTGACGGGATCAGCTAGGCCCGGGTGGCCGTTTGAAAAGTTGTTGGCCCGGGTGGCCGTTTGAAAAGTTGTTGGCCCGGGTGGCCGTTTGAAAAGCTGTTGGCCGGGTGCCAACCTTGTTGCAATCCTAAAGAGTGACACATTGCACATACTCCGACCGGACGAGACGCACTGTCTCATCCGAGTCGTTTGAGAAGCACTCACCTAATCATTTTAGAAAAGAGTTCAAATAAAATAAATTGCAAAAATAACAGCCTTTCCTTGAAGCCTGCATTAAACACTTATTTCCCCTGGCTTGCTGAGTACTCCCGTACTCACCCTTGCTCTATATAAATAATCCCCCCCCAGTTGCTGAAGAAGATGAAGTGGATCCTGCTGACGAGGAGTTCTTCCAGGAGCAAGTCGGCTACGATGAGTTTTAGGGTTTCGGCCTAGTTCCCAAGTCGTGCCTGTGATGATTGGTCCAAGTCCTGGCTTCCGCTTTCCTTTTGTAATGCAGTTGTGAGCTCGGGATCTGTCCGCAGCCCAACATGACTATACTTCTACTCTTTAATAAAGAGACCTCTGTTGCTGTGATACTCTGTCTCCCTGTGATACCAGCACTGTTTCCTGGGACTGGTATCGATTAACAGGTTAATTTGGAGCGTCACGGGCTAGTTCCGGTCGGGACTAGTTCGGGGCGTGACAAGGACAGAGGAGACGCAGTGGGTGGAGATAAGACACGATTTTTCTGGCGGAGGTGTTAGTAGCCGCTAGTGAAAACACGATTTTTCTTGGCGGACGCTTAAGTGCTCCGCCTCGAAAAATAGAGTTTTTTTATGGCGGATCTCTTAGCGTGGCCGCCAGGGAAAATATACTTTTGCTGGCGGTCCGTAGCCCCCCATCACTCGTTACATTTTTGCTGGCGGTTTTCGCGTACGGCCACCAGCGAAAATTATAGGGCGACGCCATGAAAAATCGTTTTTCTAGTAGTATACGTTTGGTTTTCAAGTTTTTGCACCTAATCGTACCCACCTGCCAAGTTTTTGTACCGCCAACGCAATTTACTCTTTTGATATATTTGGTGGTCCACTTGTCATCGAAGGCTGGATCAAGTTTAGCGCCGTGTTCAAGACGTGGGAGCGAGAGGCAGATACGGCAGGGGATGTTGTGTCAATGGCCTGCAAACGTGTCTAGCCCATGTGCCGGCCTCACTTCAAGCCTATTAGGCCCACAACGGGTTACAAGAGTGCGTACGCAGAGTTCTGAGCTCATTTGACATTTAGCCCAGCTAAAAATTAAAAAACTTGGTACATGAAACTTCTTAATAGCAACATTCAGTATACAATAGGAACTTTATACATAAAAGTTGGCATAGAAATTTTATACATAAAAACCTTTTTCATAGAAACTAGTGTTGCTTGAGGAGGATGCAAAATAAATGCTTGAGGATGCAAATGCAATATAAGTACAAAGTAATAATGATTTACTGGGGAGGGTTCTACATGGTCACCATAAAATCTACTCCCTCCATTCTAAAATATAACAACTTTTAGCCCTCTTCTCCACCATCATTCTATTCCCAACCAATCACAACACTCTTCTATATTCACTTTTCTCACCTACCTCCACTACTCAACCAATCACAACCCTCCACCATTCAATTCTATATATTTTTTTAATAACCGTGTCTAACTCTAAAATGCTTATTATATTCTAATATGGAGGGAACAGAACACGACGATGGCACGATACCTCATTTATTCCAAGAAACTTTGCTCCCACAGCTTACGGAACAAGAGGAAGATAACCTGGTCCTCTAGCTAAGTCAGGGGACGGAAACTAGCGATCGAAACGATGACTCTGACAGTGAGGGCGATGTTGTTGGTACAAACGAGAAAGACGATGAGACCGATTGCAACACACTCCCACAGTGACTACTCTGATCATGAGCCTAGCTCACCTGGGCTCACTTGGCTGGTGGGAAATGTTGGTTTTAACTGTCAGGTGGAAGAATGTGGATCTTTTTATCGTCTTGAATTTGTGGGTTAATTTGTTTCTTAATAAACTAGATACTAAAATATTACTTCCTATACCTATACATAGATTGTCAAACTAAGAAAAAAATTCAATAGAGAATTATTGTTTGGGCTGGGATATTCTTACTAGTTGTCTAGCTAAATAATAAGAAAAATGATACTTTACACATGCATAACATTTTTTTTATATTTATGAAAAAGCAAGTCCTTATATTTAAGCGATCAATGTACAATATTGAATTCCAACATTATTTTTGTATAGAACAACATATATATATATATATATATATCATTAAACAAAAAAATTGAGAATGTCAAGTTATATATGTGTACACATGTAACAATAATGAACACTGTAAGAATATCGACCCCCCTACGCTTCAACATCTGTGCAGCAACTCACTCGACACACTCCTTATTGTCCAGTAATACGTACGTAGACGGTTTAGTAAACTCCTTTTTTTTCACTCGATGCAAATTACACCATGCTAGCATGCATGATGCACATTTGCCATCATATACCTGCCCTGCCCTCTCCATCTAACCTATATATATCATCAGTCAAATATGTTTAATTTGCTTTGTTTTCTTCCATCCATCAGGGGCCAAAGCCTGCACCTCCTGTGTGCACCTCAAAGTTAGGCATCGTCAAATGAGCAGAAGCAGCCGCCCTGTTGTTAGGAGCCGCCTGGCTGTAGCCGATTAGCGCCGCCGCTGGGTTGTAGAAATCTACAATGCCTGCAGCTTCCTTCAGCATGCTGCTGTTGTTGCCACCGTGGCCGCCGCCGCCGACGCCGTCGTTATGGTGGTGTTCAGCAGCAGCATTGCTAGCCTTGATGTTGTTACCGGCGACGAGGTCGACGGAGAGGTCCTTGGCCGTCGCTGCCGAGCCGCCGCCGCACTGCCTCGGCTGCGTCTGGTAGAACACCTTGGACACGACGAGCTCGCCGTCCTTCTCCTCCTCGTCGGAGCCCAGGTGGTACTGGTGCATCACCCAGTTGGTCTTCTCCGGCTTGCGCTGCTTGCCGTAGTTGGTGTAGAGCACCAGGATCTTCTTGTACCCCTTCAGCTTGCCGCCGGTGAACACCGGCCGCGTCTTGCCGGTCTTGTGCCACCGCGTCTCGCCGCCCTGCTCGTCGGTGTGCACCTTCCGCCGCTTCCGCGTCCCCGTCGTGTACGCCTTCGACGGGCGGTGGAAGAAGTGCCGGATCAGGCCGTCCTTGCCGACTCCTGAAATTAACAGCGGCAGAAAGAGAACAGTACGGTTAATATGGTAGAGTGCCACACTGCCACTGCTCTCACGAATGAGTTAAGAGATGCAAATGTAATCAATTATATTACGTGCATGCATGCAACAGCAGGTCAGCAACACAACAAGAGTGGCTTCGTAATCGTAGTATCCAGTTGACCAGTTCCAATGTCCTGACGGCTGACGGCTGACGCAGCATAAGACCATTCAGTCAAACTATATGACGAATGGGCCCAGTTAATGATGGTTTTGGGCCGACTCCAGCAATTCTCTGATTCTATCTCTCTCCCCCTGAACTGTTATTGTTTAGTTATTTTTTGCGTCCTTTCCATCATAAGAAAAATACTTGCTCGGTGTTTCAATACATATTCTCTCTGTTCCAAAAATAAATTTATTTTACACTCATCCCATATGTACCAATATAAAACAAAAAGACATACCCTCACTTTATCAAATCTTAATGCAATTATTCCTCATTTTACCTACATTCCAGTGCATCTATTATTTACTTTCACAAACTCTAGTGCAATGAGTGTTCAAAAATAAATTTATTTTAAAATAAATGGGAGAGACAAAAATAAACTTATTCTGAGGTAGGGAGTATTACACTACCAACTTTATTCGTTCGTATAGCTTTGACTATTTTTTTTCTATTAGTATAACAATAATGTGTAACAAAAATTTAGTATTGTAAAAGTACTTAAAAAAACTGCTCTTTTGATTTTTATTTTCAAATTAAATACATATTTGAGAGATGTTGATGGTTAAACTTTAAAGTTTCACCGAATAAAATTATATTTAAAGAGGAGGTGGGGGCGTATTTGTGTTTTGCATCTCTTAACATAGAAATGAAATTTCCCAGGTTGTAAAAAAAGGAAAAGATTATGCATGTTAACTACAACCTTAAACTTTTATAAAAGTGTGATAGACAATCCTAGAATCTTCATACATTATTTAACCATAAACTATCAAAAATAGATTACTTTTTATACAACGGACTGAATTTAAAGTGGTTTAGTGGAGATATGGCGCTGAAGGGTGAAACTATCTTTGAATTTAAAGAATTACTCACCGATAAACTTCAGAAAATCCTTATCCACATTATGGAGTACTTATAATATAATGTAGATAGTAGTGGAGCCATGCTGTGACCCTGTAAGGTCAATTAACCCCGATAGAATTTTTGCAATCAAGTACTATTAGTAAAAAAAATATTTGCATTTCGCGCGAGGTGGATCTTGATCTTGGCTCAGCCACTGAATCTAGGTAAATTTGGTGTAATATAAATAAAATGTATATATGGCCTGAAAATAGTGTGCGGAACTAAATAACACATTTTTATTTGTCGGCTTAATTATTTTCTTACAGATAGAATTAATTTAGGTCAGCTGTAATCTATGAAATGTAAAGAAAATTACTTTGTACCATGGAAGGAGCATCCCCTGCATGCACATTGTTTTCCAGCTCAACACGCATATGTCTAACAGACTACCACACCAATATTCCCATGAGAATACCCCACGAACGGCCGCTAGCTCCAGCACCAACAAAGAAAAAAAATGTTTGCGTTGTAAACGACATAAAGAGCCACTTGCATTGGTTTTTTAATCATAATTAATTCTTGCTAGATAAAAGTATTTGTAATATATCATTTTCTACTGGATTAATATATAGTACAATGGTGACACGTGGTTTATTATTGATAACTGCTTATATGAAAATAGAGTTCCATGAAAATAATATGATCAGTGCACTATAATGTCTCTTGGTGCAATATTTCTATCACTATGGTAGAAAATAGTACAAGTTATCCTGTGGAATGGAATGCAACCCCCCTGAAGAATATAATATTATATTTCCAAAAGCAGGAAAGGCACTCATAATAATTTAAAGTATCTGTCAGTTATTCTTAGGCCATGTTTAGATTCAAAAATTTTTCTTTAAACTTCCAACTTTTCCGTCACATCAAATGTTTAGACACATCCATGTAGCATTAAATGTGGATGAAAAAAAACCAATTCACAGTTTGCATGTAAATAACGAGACGAATCTTTTGAGCCTAATTATGCCATGATTTAACAATGTGATGCTACAGTAAACATTTGCTAATAATGAATTAATTAGGCTTAATAAAATTGTCTCGCAGTTTATAGACGGAATCTGTAATTTGTTTTGTTATTAGTCTTCGTTAATACTTCAAATGTAATTTGTTTTGTTATTAGTCTTCGTTAATACTTTAAATGTGTGTCCGTATAGTTCAAAAAAAATTTGGCACACAAACTAAACATAGCCTTATTGCACAAATATACAATGACTATCCTACCCATGCAAATACACCATTATATATAGGCAAATTAAATACTAGGAATATAAAAGGATAAGGGAAAAACCAGTTCATATTGCAACAAGTCTTTTCAAAGTTTATTCTCCCTTTGATCTGATGTTGCGTGTATCCTGCATGACGTGGACCTTTGATGCACTGTGCTGTCACAATCACTCGTTTTCAATGTGAAATAAACTTTTATGCAAGTAGGAGAAGCAATTACTTCAAAGGCAAACTTTAGCAATATTTATACGGTATCGTGCTCAAATGCAACAACACACGATCGGACATACACGAAATTAATGAAAAACGCAAGGACGATCGACATGTATATACCCTAGTGTGGATGTTACAAATACTAAGCGGCTACGCATGATTGACATATATGAAGCAAGGTCATCAAATTGGAAACGACCAGTAAAACTTTATATCAAAATAGGGAATTTTAAACTGAGAATCAACCAAGCAAGAAAATGTTTTGTCAGGAGTACTTCCGTGACGGACAGCACCTATAGTTTCCACGTCCCGTCCAGATCTGATCATCTTTGCAATTGCTATAGCTGATGGCACAATGTAATTAAGCATGCAAGCTAGCTGATCGAGACAAATGCACTTATGTAGATCATGAACTGATGAAACTAAAACTGATTCGATATATGTCGATGAGTCGTAGGAAAAGCATGCATGTAAGTATATTATACGTGCCTGGAAGCCTCTCGGGATGGGTGTAGCAGATGCCGTTCTCGCCCTCGATGGTGGGGATGAACTCGTCGATGAGGGGGTGGAGCTTCCGCGCGTCAGGCCTCGCCTTCCCTTCCAGGTGCTCCAGCAGCTCCTGGTCCGTCGGGTCGAACTTCACCCCGGCCGGCAGCCCCGGCAGGTCCTGGATCGTCGCCGCCGCCGCTGCCTGCAACTGACTCTACACCATGCTCAATGCCATCCAACATGTACACAGGAGACCGATCGATCGATCGAGCAGGGAGGAAGCTCTAGCTAGCTACCTGCTCATACTGCGCGCGGTGGCCGCAGGAGGGGCAGGTCTTGATGAGGTTGACGTGCTGGGAGACCTGCTGCTGCTGCTGCTGCTTCTTGGCCGCGGCCACGGCGGCGGCGGTGGCCAGGTTGTTCTCCACGGCGCGCACGTCGTTGAAGCTGTTGCACCATGTCATGGCTGTATAATCCAACAAGACGAGAGATCGTGCAGAGAGAGCGAGCCAGAAAGCCTCTCTCTCTCTCTCTCCCTGTCCCTCCCTCCGGCCTACGCTTTGCTCGTCGCCCCCATATGCGGCAAACGTTAAGGCGAGACCCCGCGCGCGGGAGGAGGGAGAGAGAAAGGAGGAGAGGAGGGAACAAAGCGGCCTGATCGACGAGAGGGAGAACAAAGAGAAAAGAGAGGGGAGCTATAGGAAGCTTGTCCCTGTTAAAAGCTACTCCTACTAGCTGCTAATCGCCTAATCCTCCCTGCCTGCCTTCCCGGCCCAGCTGCTGCGCGCGGCTACTGATTTTCTATCTCCATCTGGTACAGACCAAGGAGGAGAATGAAGGTGGATTCTAAACACTAATCAGAGTTTGATTTGTTATTTTTGTTACAACTTATAGAAGTTGAATTTGAACTTGCATATTTGTGGGGTGATATATTACATATGAATCTATCTTGTCAAATTTTTTTGAATTTTTTTCATACACATTTAGTTGACATACAACAAATGGGTGTATCTACCTAGGTGATTAAAAGTGTTTCCGGAGGAGAATACATCAATTCTCACACCAACTTTTCGGTTGGCGCTTCCCAGGAAGATCGCCACGAGCTGATCTCTCTCTCTCTCTCTCTCTCTCTCTCTCTCTCTCTCTCTCTCTCTCTCTCTCTGGCGAGGCAGGCAGAGGCAGAACCGGCAGTGCATCAGCTGTGTAGTGCAGGCAACAACTACAGAAAGAACACTCCACAAAAGGAGCAAGAGACTAGGATTAGAGAGAGATCGAGCTAGCTATAGGGGACGTACGTGCAACAGCTAGCTAGGAGATCAAAATGAAAGGCTAAAGCGATCGATTAACAGGCTGAACAATGAGCGTTTGACAGCTATGGGCATGGACGGATATGTGTCATGTGTGTCGTCGTCGCGAGGTGTGCGGCAACACGCGCGGATGATAAACTGACAATAAATCAATCAATCAAACTCCATAGCTAATTAAGCTAGGCGAACAGCGAGAGCGAATCATAGAACGCAGGGGATCGATCCGGGCGAATGATGCGGTGTTGCTTGGCCCTCAAGTCTGGGCTTGCTAATGCAAACCGTATACGTGAGCCGCAAACCAGGCGCCGGATTCTCTGCGCGCGAGTTGCTGCGTGTACATCTCCCGATCGAGATATGGACGTCCGGCCACCACACGTACACACCACACCAATTTGACGGTTAACATTTACACGTCAGAAATGACACCGGCCGGTGTTAATATAGCTTAGCTGCTGCTATAGCGCTGGTCGTACGTACTACTACTATAGTATAGTCCATGGCCAAAGGCTTGCGTTGCAAGAAAGCACCTACACTTGCGATTAACCGGAAGACCCGTACACCAAACGCATATGAAATGCATGACGAAGCGATTGGTCGAGGAGAAGGTTGCGCGAAATGCGTGTACTTTGGCTGGGGTTTAAATTAAAGGCGGCAGGATGACCTACATTCTCCTCCGCGCGCGCGAGACCCCGGCTGGTACGGTGCGCGCAGGGTGTGCGTGCGTGCATGTACGTGCAGGTAGCCGCTGCGAAATACGTATACGCACACATATACTAACCACTGTTCATCGTTTCAACACGGTTAGCTAGCTCTATAGCTATCCAATCAGTTGGTAAACAAACTATACACGTACACTTTGATTAATATTATTCCATTCGATCTGTGATTTATGGTGTGTATGACGTTCGATCGATATAACTCTATCAAACTGGGGGATTGCGAATACCCTAAGCTATTTCGCAATAGAATACAGATGAGAGAGGAGAGGGTTGGGGGAAAAGGCAAAGGAGGGACAGAGAGGAGGTAGCTAGATGCATGAGAGAGAGGGAATTAGACCGGCTGGCCAAAAGCGTACGTGTGGAGGAGGGGGAGGAGGAGGAGGAGGGTGGAGTGGAGATGGGGCAACCTGATTCGATCGCGAGGACGTCCCACCACACCACACCACACCACACCGCCCCACCTGCAACACGCACAACACCCTACTACTTGGCAGCACGATTGATCGCCTGTCAGTCAGTCGTCTCTCGCGGATGGATCGAGTCGCGGGGGGTGGCGGCTGGGCTGGCTGCGGTGTGCGCGCGCGTGCGTGACCGCGTGAGATGGGGATGGATTTGGGAGAGAGAGGGACTTTTAGATATGAGGTCACCGTAGAGTGTCTTGGAAGAGAGAAATGATGATAGTAGTGTATAGAGCCCAGCCCCCAGCGACAAAAGGACTCCTGAACGACCGAGCCGGGGGGGCGCGCGCGTACGTCGTCGATCCACCGGTCGAGACGAGGCGCGTCCGCGCGTGTATTGATCCGTCCCGTACGTTGATCGATCTGGGCGTTTGGGGGCCATGTGCAGATGCGTCGTGGCGTGCGTGAACATGCGCACCTGCGGGATTTGGACCGGTCGATCTAAGTTTGAGGGCGTGGATTTGGGACCATTGATCTTCGGCGTATCGGTCCGGCCGGTCGCGATGAGCTAAGCGATACGTCATGCCCCTGGATCAGATTGACAGGAATCAGAGATTAGTTAATTAAGTATAATACTCCCTCCATACTCGTAAAGACAGTGACACGGTTTCCAAAATACAACTTTGACTTCTTATTTCTATAAAAATATTTATTGAAAAGTGATATATGTATACTTTTATGAAAGTATTTTTCAAGACAAATCTATATATATAATTTTTACATTTTTAAACTCAACAACTTAAGAGTTATTCATAATTTATATTTTCAAGGTTTGACTTAAACATTGTTCTAAAAGACTTCCTTTATGAGTATGGAGGGAGTATAAGTAGTACTAGGCACTACTCCCTCCGTTTCCAATTAATCATCGTATTATAGGAGCGCACCAAGATCAAAAAAAAAAAGAAAAATCCATAACTCTCATATACTTATATTTACTTTGGTAACAAACTCGATGCATGTGGACAATTCTCACTATTTTCTAACTAATAACAAACCAAGACATCACTTTGGTTGTAAAATATTATGTGCAGGGATACATGCACCAATATTCATTTACTCCCATACACAGATAACGAATAGACTTATGTAATGATAATAATATGATGATCACTTGGGAATAACCCCAAAAAAGTTAGATGATGATCAATTGGGAATAGAGGGAGTATATTATAAGACGTTTTGGCATTTCCATCGCTCGTTTAGATCCACTAACATCTATACGAATTTGGACACATATATGAAGCACATATATGGATCCATGCATAACTATATTCAAAATCCAAACATCTTATAATGTGAAACAAATGAAGTAGGTGAGAATTAACAAGGGTATTTAAGGTATAGCATTATACTCCCAAACATTGCCACACCTCCTTACAAAACCTAGCCAAAGGTGTGGTCATAAATTGATGGCCACACCTCTTAGACAAGGTTTGGCTAAAAGATGGGTGTAAGACATGTGGGCCTTTGAATTGAAAAACTATGGTATGCCATAACTTTGATAGTGAAACAAATATACTCCATATGTACCATATATGGCAATTTTGTACTGGATGAGACATCCTAAAACTACGAATCTGGACAGGGGCATGTCCAGATTCGTAGTTATAAGATGTGTCACATCCAGCACGCCCCTATCCAAATTCATAGTTATAGAATGCGTCATATCTGACACTAGATTGCTATATTAATTATGGGACGGAAGTGGTATATCCTAGAAAGGGTGGTGAAGTTTGGCAAAATAAGGGAGTGACCCAAACAACCACAAGCATAACTTCAGGCTGATTACAACGTGTTAGTCGCCAACCCTTGAGGATATTATATGGACTATAATTACTGGTATTTTAAGATTGAAATTCAAATATTATGTTAAATGTATGATCACTCAGATTTAAATGTCTTTTAAAGGATGTTTCTACTTTAAAAGTTTCTATATATATACCTTGTGTATATAAACTTAATTAAGAAAAAAATAAAACCGTGTGAGCGGAAAAAAATAGAAGTAGGGTGTTTGCGAGGGGTCATTAGACTTCTCTCTCAAAGTGTCTAATTAGTAAAGAATAGATAGATAGATAGATAGATAGATAGATAGATAGATGTAGATGAGTACATGGTTAGGCTACCTTTTAGCATAGTCGACATGTGTCAAATTAGTACACCAGATGGGGCAATAGATGGGAGAATGTATATTTTATTTTGAAAGTTTAATGTTGTATGGTTTGATCAATAATTAGCCAGATTCGTGCATTTAGTGTATTAAAAAGTACCTTGAATTGCTTTAGTTTCAGAAAAAGTACCTTGAATATGTTTTACTTAATGGTCAAAGTTTAAACTTTAATACTTTTTAGAAAATAATATACAGCCTACGAAAAAATAATTTAACACCCTTTCCTCAACCCCCCCAAAAAAAACCAAAAAAAAGAACAGTTGAGGTATATTATTCGTTTTCTTCAACGAGATTTGCAACCTATTTCTACACACCAATAATATTATTTTTCACATGTATTTTCTCCATGCATATTTGGTTGAAGAAAAAAAAGTTTAATCTGAGTATATAATCTCATTGTGCTTCTCAGGAGGGCATATAAAAAGCACAAAGTGTGCACGTATCTGCTTCTCCCTCGAAGAGTTAAAAATAACTGGTCCATATGTATCTTGACATGCAAGCGTCTCCCTATTGTTCGACTGTGACAATCTTTGCGTTAGACTACAACAAATATACGCGTCGTCGATTAGTTGGAGAGGTATATGCGTCGTTGGTAAGTAGTGTAATCTAATCAGGTACTCCACTGCTACTAATACTATTTAATTTAACTTGTAGGGCAAGTCTCACCATCTATAGCTAGCTCCGTCATGTTGAAAAACGGAGGCAGTACTTCGATCCGAGAGAATCGGAATTATGTTGGAGTTTGACATTTTACCACACTTTTTCAACAGATGGGTATGAAAATGCACAAAGACTTCAAGGATGCAATCACTTCTCCAACTTGCTCTCTGACTCTACCATGCGCCTTAAATTTTCGCAGAAAGCTAGAAAAAGGCACGTTTTTTTTTCTCATTTCTCTTGATATTTCAGAGTACTTTTCTCAACATCAAGGAATGAATGAACGATCGGTATGAAATGAACATTGGCAGTCAAAGATATTACTAGTAATTTCTCAGTGACAGTCTCTCATATTTTATTCGAGAGAATTTTAACCCCCAAAAAAAATCTAGAGAGCAGTTAATTACTACGAATACAGGGATTGCTTTTGTAGGACTTTCATGTGATTTGGTACATGATGGACAACGACATATATCGACCATTGGCGATTAGATGTTGCTTCGTGTGACACTGACACTGGACTTGCTTCTGATGCATTCCATATATCGCACGATAGAGTACATGTACCTAACTGAACCTGATGTATCCATGTGAGTGATACCACCTCTAGCTAAGCTACCACGAAGAACTGAACTCGCCTAGTGAAGCCAAGAGACAAGACAAATGTTACTTACACTGAAGCTTTTTCAGAGGATAAAAACAGTTAATTAAGGGGCGTCACACGCACACCAAGGCAATTCGGTATGCAGATATACAAAGCTCTGACCTTTACTAGATCATTGGCTACAACTAAAGCTCCGGGCATGATCATGCCATGATATGTGCAAATTTAAAGGGATGGAAAGAAGGAATCACATGATTAAAGCCGTATGCTGTCGCCTCTGATGATCGGCAGCTTTTAATTTACAATGTTCCCCAGACTCCTGGTAGCAGTAGCACACTGTCGCCTCATGTCTTGAGAATTGCAGATGCAGCTTGGTTATCACTCAGAGATCAGCTAGGAGGACCACTGCATACATGCAGGAGGATTTGTCTCAAGGAAAGTGTTTTACTTGGAGGAGCCTAAACTGTTTTGTTCCAATGGTCTTTATGTGGTCGCCTAGGTGAGGCAAGCATGCATGCAGGTTTGTCTCTACTCTCAAATGCTGTTGTTCTGTTCTCAAAAAAGAAAAAAGAAGTGCTGTTGTTCTGAAGATTGTCGAGGATGATCGATGTTCTCTTTGCAGGCTTTGCAGCCTTATATTGGGCTGGGCTTTGCATCTATGAGTTTGGATCAGCCCATTTTTGCCTCTGACATATGCATGGCTCGGTGGATCCACATCTATGAGCAAGGCATTGTAGTTCTTCATACCAGATGAAAAGAATCAAACCAAATGCATAATCCAGTTAAGCACGGCTAGGAGGGAACATCTATTTACGTGTATATATAACTGCCACAGAACAATTTTAGACCCAAAAAACTGTTCTTTCCGTTACCAATGTGCGTCTACAACTGTTGGAGCTCAAAAAAGAGAAACTGGAACACCAAACATTCTCGCATTTCTTGCCAGCAGAACTCCCAGTTCATTTAATTTTTGCATCTTTCTTGCAAGAAGGCATCCATAAACGGACAACAAACAGAAACAGAGTAACAGACCATTACCTTCCTTCCCTTCAAATCCCTTCCTTTTCCATTGATAAAATCCCTAGTTGCGTCTCCTCTAACAAAAGATCACCAACGCTAAATAGAACGAACTGGACGAAGAGGACAGCTACTATGTCTGCTCCACACCACCGTCACCACAACATGGAATTGCTGGCAGGATCAGAGGAATCCTCTTTTGTTGAATATATTTGATCGTACCAGCAACATGAGCCCATGCAGAAAACAATCGCCCAGACATAAGAACATCAAATTTCTTCCTTCAGACACTGTCCCTGTCTTCCAATTCCTGGCTCCAACCTTGGCAACGGCAGCACAAGGCCCCTGCAGTGACAATGTTACATTCATCAAATGGTAACATGATGGTTCTTTGTGCGTTGCCCTGCTTTGTTCTCAGTTTCACAGATAGCTTCAGGGATAAGGAAGGGAATGCGCGCTATAGGTTTGTCGCATTCAAGGGATTGTGGGGTCATCGACAATCAAGCACCTCTTGATCCACACGTTGTAGTTGAATGAATACAATTTCTAGACTTTGTCCATTGAACTGTTTCAGCAATGACTTTTGTTTCTATAGCGCTGTTAGACCAAAATGTGGTGTCTTGCTTCAATCCAATACCGTAAGAGTAAGCAAAGAAAGTTCTCATAATATTGCTGACTATTATAGTGGTTATTGGCAGAATGCAGTTTGTCAGCTTCCCAGCCACCCACCATGACATTGGCTTTCCACTCTCCACAACAGTCTGGTAATCAAAGATCTTGCTCGCTCAAATTCATGTTGATTGATCAAACAGGTGTAATCCCCTCAACATAGACAGAAAAACATACAGTAGCATGTATCTCAATACTTGATATTTTGGCTGTTGACTTTTTCTCATGGTTATACTCCTAGCCAATAGAATGAAGATCCATAATTCCATATTTTGCGATGCTGTTTAGCCTGTTCCATTAAGTGAATTCATAGATTAAGCATGTTAGACATGTCATAAGCAGAGGATTCACTATGACAATTAAGCAGCATAAACTCTAAAGAAAGCTATCAGAACAAAAGTACAGTGAATTTCTTTTGGAAAACAAGGTTATTATATGCAAGTGGAAAGTAATAAACATATTTGATTTAATCTTTATGGAGGGAACCGATGGAAAACATCACTAGAAACTGTGCATTTCCAGGGAGGTTCACATTGTAGAGATTTTCTTTTGCCGTGCAATAAACCTGAACAATTGATATGCTACTCAGCAGTCCATAAGAAAATGAAAGAAAAATGAATAGAATAAAATCGACATATGAAAATATGAAACAGTGCAATAACCTAGCTAACATTTCACTTTCCCAATAAATCTACCTAACATTGGTTGTACAATATGTCAATAATTACATTTGACTTAACTGCCTAGCTTGCTATGCAATAGTTTGAGCTACAGGTTTTGATCATTTATCACCAAACTCCACATATATGAACAATTAAAGTTAATGCTTAGTATATTTACGTATGTACTCCCTCCGGTTTCATTTTAATTGACGCTTTGGACAATGACACGCTCTACAAGATATACCTTTGACCTTATTTTTCTATTATAATATATACAATAAATAAATGCATGTTTACTTTTATTATAGTGTTTTGAAAGACAAATCTATATATGTTTTTCTAGTTTCTTTAAACTAAATATTTTTAAAGTTATTGATGGTCAAAGTTATAAAAATTTAACCTCAACCATGTCCAAAACATCAATTAATATAGAACCGGAGGGAGTAATGAACAAGATGTATGGGACTATGGAAAACAACATCGCACCATACCTGAACACTGCCAACTGCTCGTAACTTCAAAAAAAAACAGATATCATTACATAACCTGGAAAAGTGAACACCAAAATGTAAGATCTATCGACAACAAATCTCCCACTTGTGTAACAGCATAGAAAGAGTAAGAAGTATATGACCTCTGAGCACAATGTTTGCTTGGCAACAGCTCGCGCATACGATGTATCAGTGGAGTGTAGTCTGTACCTTTATTTCAATTTGAAACGGTTAACTGGCTCCACATTTCCTCAGCTTCTTGTCTTACCTTTTTCTTACTCCAATATGCACGTACAATCGTATCCCATGTTTCCCTCTCAGGGATGCATCTCTCTGATAACATGTCACGCACAACATGAGCAGCTTTCTCTAAATTGTTCTTTTTCGATAAGCACTCGACAAGGAGATGGAAAGTTGTTGGCTTGGTAGAAATTCCACGGGTACGCATGCTCTGGTACACCTGAAAAGCCCTTACAACTTCACCCTTAGAACACAGTGCTGTCACCACTGCATCATTTATCCTGCCATGCAGGCTCCAAGTCAAGCGGTTTGGTCGGATGCCAGCAAAATTCATCTCATCGAGGTAATTTGAAGCCTCCAAAGCCCTTCCTGCATCACATAGCCCAACAATTAGCTTACCGAACAACCCAGCATCAGGCTTCCTCCCCTGGAGACGCATCCGGTCTAAAATCTCCATGGCCTGACCCAGACAGCCCTCCTTACAGAGCCCATCAATAACAGAACTGTATGTGATTGTATTTGGAAGCTTCCTCTCCTTAACCATCCTGTCCAGCAGCTCCACTGCTGAGGCGGCACGCCCACCCTTGCACAATCCATCGATCAGTGAACTGTATGTTACCACATTCGGCATGATCCCTCTCCTAGCCATTTCATCGAACAGTTTCAGAGCATCATCAAAGCAAGCCTCCCGCGCGAGCCAGTGGATAAGAGTGGTGTAAGTAACCACCGTTGGTGCAGTGCCATTCGCAATCATCTCCGCGAACAGGTCGCGGGCCTCCGGCAGCCGGCCGCGGCGGCAGAGCCCATCGATCACAGTATTGTAGGAGCACGCGTCGGGTTTGGGGATGTTCCGAAAAACGCGAACGGCGTCGTCGATGGGGACGGCGGCGTCGGAGCAGTGGGCCTTGACGAGGACATTGTAGGTGGCGGTGGTGGGGGCAAAGCCGGCGGCGCGCATGTCGGCGAGGAGGGAGCGGGCCAGGGAGAGGTGGGAGTGAGCGACGAGGGCGGCGAGGACCGCGGTGTAGGAGCGGGCGGAGTGCGGGAGGCCGAGGGCGGAGGGCGCGGAGCGGAAGAGGTGGAGCGCGGCGAGGGGCTGGTGGGCGCGGGAGTAGGCGCGGAGGAGGGAGAGGAACGGGGGCTCGAGCTCGCCGGGCGAGGGGAAGAGCTCGCGCGAGCGGGAGAGGAGGGAGGATGCGAGCGGGAGGAGGCTGGCGGAGGCGAGGCGGGACGTGAGGAGGGAGACGGTGTCGCGCGACGGGAGGACGGGCGCGGCGGCGGCGGCCGTGGAATCGTCGGGCGGGGACGCGGACGAGGGCCTGGCGGTGGCCGCGTCGAAGAGCGCCAGGGCCCGGCGCGGGTCACGCTCCGCGCGGACCAGGCGGTGGAGGTGGTCGGCGGTGAGGGTCTTGGGCCATCTGGTCGCCGAGGGGGTGGCCGGCGGCATTGGGCTGCGGCGGCGGCGGCGGGATGGGCAAAGCCTGCGTGTACGAGGCGGGACAGAGGTGTTCGGCGGAATGCTGCCCTGCCCTGGCAACACGAGGACCTCTAGCAAGTGCGCGCAGTTGCGTGACCGAACATTTGTCGGGCCGGCCAAATGTCAAAGAAAAGGATGGGCCTATTTCGGCCATAGCTGAAAATTAATTAGGGCCTGCTTGGGAATTAAGGACCTTTCTCGACCGGAATAAGTTCACCAGAGGTCCCTCAACTTAACAGCGAGACTTTTGAGATCCCCTAACCACAAAACCAGAAATTTCCACCCCTAAACTTTACGAAACCGTGTAAAAAAGGTCCCAGGGCAGTATGGATCTCTAGTTTCGCTGATGTGGCATCCTAGTTAGCAAAAAAAAATAAAAAAAATTATAGGGCCACATGTAAGTGAGAAGAAAAAAATGTGGGACCCACACTTCTTTTTGGTTTTCTTTTCTCTTTTCTTTCTCCTCTTCTCTTCTCTTCTCCGGAAGCCGCCGGCGGTAGAGGGAGCCTGGGAGAGAGGGGGCAGGGGTGGGCGAAGTGGCCACTGGCGAGCGCGGCAGTGGGCGGCTGGAGAGGGGGGAAGAGGTGGCCGGTGAGCCTGCGAGGGAGGAGAGGGGGGCGGCGGTGGGTGGAGCAGCAGCGGGAGAGAAGAGAGAGGGGGTCGCGCCGGCCGAGCTTCACTTGCGAGCTCGTCGGCGGCAATGGCGTCCCTCCGCGCGCTCCCCCTTCTCGTCCTGGGCATGGCGTTGTGCGCACTCGCGTTGTTCCCCTTCGTCGCCTCTGCGTCCCGTGACCTCCGCCACCATCCCGCGGGCTTCGTCATCGGCGGGAGAGGGTAGAGAGGGGGTCGAGCCACCCGAGCTTCACTCATCGGCGACAATGGCGTCCCTCTAGCCAACTGTTGTTGGTGTTGCTGATGCTAATGCGGCTTCCTCCGCCGCCTCCCCGCCTGCACCACCATCTCGGGCAGCTCCACGCCGTGGTCCCGCACCCACAGCGACGTCGTCCGCAGCGCCCTCGCTGCGCACTGCCCCAGCTCCTCTCCCTTCCCTTCCCCGTCTTTCCCGCCGTCAAAGCAGCACAAGAGGCACCCAAGGCGGCGACGTCGCCTCCCTCCGAGCGGCAGCGGCGACCTTGTCTCCCTCCGTTCTTGCCCGTCGCCACCCTGCCCGCCGGCCTCTCAGGCTCGGGGGAAGAAGAGAAGAGGAGAAGAGAGAACAAAGAAAAGAGAAGAAGAAAAAAAAAGAAAAAGAAAAGAGGAGAAAAGGGCGCTGATATGTGGGTTCCACCATATGCCACGTCAGCTAAACGGGGGAAAATTAGATCAGTACTGTTTAGGGACTTTTTTTTGCACGGTTTTGTATAGTTTAGGAATGGAGATTTCTGATTTTGTGGTTAAGGGATCTCAAAAATCTCGCTGTTAAGTTGATAAACCTTCGGTGAACTTATTCCTTCTCGACCTGGTAAAAGAAATAAAAGCCCGTAACTTTCGGCCACCTAAAGTACCGGAGAATATATTCAATACCCTTCCTGTTCGGGAGAAAAAATTGGTAGAAATAACTTATCGGAGCAATTTGGGACTTCGAAGTAGACAAATAGATAGATAAAAAAACTATGATGAATAATCAAAAATAACATCAAACTCACCAACAGATGTTCATGTAATGTTCCACATGTTTTCACGTAAATCTTCATTGTAGTTCGTAAAGCAATGTCTCGGTGCTTCTTCGTTTGTACTTATATTTCACCGGTAATTAGGAATGCAGTTTTTATAGGCGATATATACCGAGAACAAAATGGATATCCTTAAAAAAACAAATGGAACTGATAGATCTCGATATAAAAAGTCACCTAATAAATCTATCTATTATATTATTAAAACAGCTTTAAAAGGAGACATCACGTTCGCTGTGGGAGCTAGAAATTCTCATATTAATCGGAGAAAAAGAAAAAAAGAAAAGAAGAGTCCAAGTAGAAATACAATCTAAAAATAGCTGAAATTCGGAATTAAAAATAAGCAATATTGAAAGAAGTTTCTATATAACAACCCAATACGAGATTAATACAAATTCGAAATAAAAATAAAATAAAATCCAAAATTATAAAATAAAAGGAAGTCCAAGTAGGAATACAATTTAAAAATAGCTGAAATTCAGAATTAAAAATAAGGAATATTGAGAGAAGAGTCCATATAATAACCCAATACGAGATTAGTTAATATTCGGAATAAAAATAAAAAAAATTCGAAATTAGCAAAAAGAAAAAAAGTTAAAATAGGAATACAATTTAAAATCAACTGAAATACGAAATTAAAAATAAGTAATAGTGAAAGAAGAATCAATATAAGAAACCAATATGAGATTAATTAAAATTCAGAATAAAAAATAAAAAATATCCAAAATTAATAAAAAAATAAAAGAGAGTTCAACTGAAATTCAAAAAATAAAAAAAAATAAAAGTATTAAAAACACTATACGGTATTAATTAAAAAAATTTAAATTAGAAAAAGAAAAAAAGATTTCAATTAGGAATAGTGGTGGCAGTTGATACAATATATAAAAACTGTTAGTAAAACACCAAATAGAATCCTAATGATGATTAAAAGGAGGGACGAGCAAGACGGTTGCCGGGACTTCTAGAAAGTAAAAAAAAAACCCAATTGATAAACATATTCGATTTTTAAAATCTCAATGAGAATAAAGGAGAAGCAGCATGCGGGGTGTATAGGAGTATAGTTGCAGAGCCGCCAACGGTTAGCGGGACTTTTAGAAAAGAAAAAATAAATTCCAACGATAGTTATGTTCGATTTTAGAATCCTGATGAAAATAAAGAATAGGCGGCGGATGGGCCGTAGAGGTGTATAGTGGCATCGTTTGACGGGACTTCTGAAACTATAAAAAATGAAACCCAACAAGACAATAAACTCTAAAAACTACAAGGTCCAATTTTTAAAGGTTCGGAACTTCTAAAAAGTAAAAATAAAACAATGATAATCATGATGCATTTTAAAATCTCAAGGGAGGCAGCGGGCGAGCCATAAAGGAGTACAATGGCAAACCCGCTGACGGTTTGGCGGGACTTATAGAAAGTAAAAAAAATAAACCCGAACGATAATTATGTTCGATTTGTAAAATCCCAATGATAATAAAGAGAAAAGAGAGTGGACGGGCCTTAGAGGAGTATAATGGCAGCGTTTGACGGGACTTCTAGAAATTATAAAAACGAAACCCAACGAGATAATAAACTCAAAAAGCTATAAGATCCAATTTTAAGAGGTTTCAAGGAGAATGAATAGAAATAGTGGTAGACCGAGGAAACAAAAGAAGGATATGACAGAAGTAAGGGGTAGCAGCTGGTGTGACTTTTCAAAACTATATAATTAGAAATACGAGGATAACTATTTAATAAATCTTAAGTAAAATCATACTGAAAAATATATGATTTTGTTTGGGTGCTAGCCGCGCAATTGCGCGGGCCAAAAGGAGGCACTACGTTCGTTGTGGGGGTTAGAAATTCCCACATTAATCAGAGAAAAAGAAAAAAAAGAAAAGGAGAGTCATACAATTTAAAAAAAAGCTGAAACTCAGAATTAAAAATAAGCAATATTGAAAGAAGTTTCCATATAAGAACCCAATACGAGATTAATCAAAATTCAAAATAAAAATAAAATAAAATCCAAAATTAGAAAAGGAAAGGAGAGTCCAAATAGGAATACAATTTAAAAATAGCTGAAATTCGGAATTAAAAATAAGAAATATTAAAAGAAGAGTCCATATAAGAACCTAATACGTGATTAATTAAAATTCGGAATAAAAATAAAAATAAATCCGAAATTAGCAAAAGAAAATAAAAGAAGAACTCAAGTAGGAATACAATTTAAAATTACCTGAAATTCGGAATTAAAAATTAGCAATATTGAAAGAAGAATATATATAAGAACCCAATACGAGATAAAAAAAATAAAATAATATCAAAAATTAGAAAAATCAAAATAATAAAATAATATCAAAAATTAAAAAAAAATCAAAAGAGAGTTCAAGTAGAAATACAATTTTGAAACAACTGAAATTGAAAATAAAAAATTAAAACATTAAAAGAACACAATACGGTATTAACTATTTTTTAAAAAAAAATAAATTCTGAAATTAGAAAAAGAAAAATAAGATTTCAATTAGGAATACAATTTATAAATAACTAAAATTTGTAATAAAAATAAAGATTATTGAAAGAAAAGACCATCTAAAACGTATAACGAGATAAATTAAGTAACATGCCTATAAAGGAGTAGAGTGGTGGCGGTTGATACGACATATAAAAGTTGTTAATAAAACACCAAATAGAATCCTAATGACGATTAAAAGGAGGGACTTTAGGCAGACCGTGAAGCAAACAAGTAAGGCGGTTGCTGGGACTTCTACAAAGTAAAAAAAAACACCATTGATAATCATATTCGATTTTTAAAATCTCAATGACAATAAAAAGGAGAAGCAGCGGGCGGGGTGTATAAGAGTATAGTTGTAGAGCCGCCGGCGGTTGACGGGACTTCTAGAAAATTAAAAATGAATTCCAACGATAGTTATGTTCGATTTTTAGAATCACAATGACAATAAAGAGTAGGTGACGGATGGGCTGTAGAGGGGCAAATAAAGAGTAGGTGACGGATGGACTGTAGAGGGGCATAGTGGCATCATTTGATGGCACTTCTAAAAATTATAAAAAATGAAACTATAAGTCCAATTTTTAAAGGTTCAGAACTTCTAAAAAGTAAAAAAAAACAATGATAATCATGGTTGATTTTAAAAATCTCAATGATAATAAAGAAGGGAGGCAGCGGGCGAGCCGTAGAGGAGTACAATGGCAAAGCCACTGATGGTTTGGCAGGACTTCTAGAAAGTAAAAATGAACCCAAACGATAATTATGTTCGATTTTTTAAATCTCAATGACAATAAAGAGAAGAGACAGTGGACGGGCCGTAGAGGAGTATAATGGCAACGTTTGATGGGGGGCATCTAGAAATTATAAAAAGAAACCCAACATGACAATAAACTCTAAAAACTATAAAATCCAATTTTTAAAGGTTCCAAGAAGAATAAATAAAAATAGTGATAGATCGAGCAAGCAAATAAATAACGAGATAACATAAGGGGTAGCAACTGGTGTGATTTTAAAACTATATAATTAGGAACAATAGGATGATAAGGTTTGGTCTTTCAAAATCTTAAGACAATGAGATAGCTATTTAATAAATTTTAAGTAAAATCGTACTAAAAGATATGATTTTGTTTGGGTGCTAGCCGCGCAATTGCGCGAGCCACCCAGCTAGTTACTCCTAAATGAAAGAGGAAAATAAATGCGGGAGGGATAATAAGAAACATGAAACTGACAAGAACCAAGAAGTAGCGTATATAAAACATTAAAAAAGCACGAAAAATAGTTCTCATCTTGCTGTCAATGA